CGAACCCGAATCCCGCCCCGTCGCCGCCGACGCCGAGGTTCTCCTCGACCTCCACCACGCCGGTGAGCGAGTACCCCTTCACCAACTACCCCTTCTTCCCCTCCTTCTCCCCGCCGCCGCCTCCACCCTCCACCGCAGACCAGCAGGCCCAGCCCTCGGCAGACGGCGACGCGTCCCGAACCTTCCCGGCCAACATCTCCACCCTGGTGGCCCCCAACGCCGGCAGCAGCAGTAACCAGGGGCAGGGCGGGAACTCCCGCGGCATCCCGGTGCTGCAGGCGCTGCTGCTCGCCTTCCTCTCCCTCTGCCTGCTGCTCCTCTCCGCGCTCCTCTCGCTCCACCTCTTCCGCCGCCTCCGCAGGCACCCCTCCGGCCACCGCCGCGCCGCCAACGGGGCGGCCTCCTCCACCACTACAACGGCGCGGCGGGACGCCGAGCTGGACGAGGAGGAGGACGGCGACGAGGAGGGGCGCAGGCTCAAGCCGCCGCCGATGCCCACCTCCTCCTCCAACCCCAGCACCGAGTTCCTCTACCTCGGCACGCTCGCCACCCCGCCGCCGGGGACTGCTCCGCCCCCCTCGCAACCCCGCCCCGGCTCGCCCGAGCTCCGCCCGCTCCCGCCGCTGCCCCGCGTCGGCCCGCCCTCCGGCGAGTTCGGCTCCCGCAGCTCCGCGTCCGACCCCAGCACCGTGCCCCGCGTCGGCCCGCCCTCCGGCGAGTTCGGCTCCCGCAGCTCCGCGTCCGACCCCAGCACCGTGCCCCGCGCGGCCGCCGGCGACGCCTCGTCCTCGTCCCTCTCCCCTTCCTCCCCCTCGGCGTCCTCACCCACGCTCGGCTCCAGCCCCGTCCACATCCGCCCGCCGTCCATCCCGCAGCCCCGCGGCCGAGCCCCCAAACGGAGGCCGCCGCCGCCTCCACCACCAGCTCAATCGTGGAACCCCTTCGTGCCCGTCCCGCCGGCACAAGCCGCTCCCCCCTCCGACGACGACGGCGACTCCTCCTCCACCATTGCCGCGGCGATGCACAAGTCCCGGCCGCTGCACTCCGACAAGCTCAACCCCGGATCTCTGCAGTAAGCATATCCACTAGCCTCTGCTTGCTTCTCTCTTCTTCTACCTGCTGGTGGCTCTGAAACCTGAATGCCTGAATTTGATTGTGTTGTGCAGCATGAAGGACGAGATGATCCAGCTCTACCTGAACAACTCCGCCGCCGCGGCCGCATCGGCGGCGAGGGAGGTGTGCCTGCTCGGTGCGCCGAGGTGCCACGGCATTGGCACGGTGCTGGGTGCACTGGGTTTCTCCGAGGAGCAAGTGCGTGATGCGCTCTTGGAAGGTAATGCATGGCTTCTTCTGCTTGGTTTATCTACCCCTGAGCCTGAATGAATCCTGATGTTGCCAATGAAATGGAGCTTGTGGGTGGGTCCTTGGGGTGAATGTGCTGGTGATCATATTTGCATATTCTCTTCTCAGAACAAACATGGAACTGAATGTCTGAATCTGAATGTTTAATGCATATGCTGCTTTCAGAAGAAAAAAGATAAGCCTCTTTATATGCCTGGGATCTGATTTTGTTATGGGCCTGTCATCTGCTGATCTCATGACACAAATGCCGTGGATAGCAGGGTCGATCAACCTGTGGGTCGTCGCCGCACAGCTTCATCGTGTCCTATCGCCGGACTGGGACTGGCTATGCTTTATTTCATTTGTGCTCATCAAATACTTGATATGAAGATCCCTGCTTGCATTACCTTATCCGCGAGCACCTCTTTTATGAGACATCAGCAACATAAAGTTGTGTATGTGTTCCACTGTGTCACAATAAGCAGCATTTTCTTTAGTCTATATATAAAAGCTTGCGAAGCCTTTGCATCCTCTGCATATACTACTGGACAATCTTTCTAGTGTTATCTTGTTTTATTGGTGACCGTGTTTGAAATTCTCCATGGGCAGTTGCACATTTTTCGGTTTACAGTAAACATTCCATTCAAGGAGCTCTGTATATTTTGCACTACATTTACCTAATTTGTTACTGCAGTTAATTAATTACTGTTTTTCTCACTCTACTATGCTACGTTCTTGTTGTTAACTCTAATTTTTTTTCCTGTACAGGTAATGCACATGGTTTGGGATTGGAAGCCCTGCGGATGCTCGCTCGGTTGGTTCTCACCAATGAGGAGGAGCTTAAGCTCAGATATTACAAGGATGACCCACCTGCCAAGCTTTGCGCGGTCGATGCCTTTCTGAAGACGATACTGGATGTGCCGTTTGCATTCAAGCGAGTCGATGCTATGCTCTATGTTTCTAGCTTTTATCTGGAGGTCAATCAGCTGAGGATGTCCTACGCTACTCTCGAGGTAAAGTTTGTAGACCTGATAATTCTGTCCAAATGTGTTTTCATCAGCTTGTTTCGAAAAGGAACAGAGACTTGCTGGGTACATGTTTGCTTCAGACCTTTAAGTGTAGAATCTTCTATATAATTTTGTTGTGTGGCTTGTTAGACTTGTGAAAATTGTGTAGAATCAGCTGTGATTTTGTTGCTGTTCCCTTCATGTTATTATCTGAGGCTTGTGCAAAGTTCTAAACAATTTTTTTTTGTCATTTTGTTCATCCAGGCAGCTTGCGAGGAGCTGAGGAGCAGCAGGCTATTCCACAAGGTTCTTGGGGCAGTCCTCAACTTTGGCAACATGATGAGCATCAACACAGGCTCTCCAAACTCACATGCCCTGGAGCCCAACACGGTCCTGAAGATAGTCGACGTCAAAGGCGCCGACGGCAAGGCGGCGCTCCTGCAGTTCGTCGTCCAGGAAATCATGAAACCCGAAGGCCACAACAATCTGAACCCGGCATGCAAGACGGACGCGTACGACGTCGACTGCAGGAAGCACGGCCTCCAGGTGGTCTCGAAGCTCGCCGCCGAGCTGACCAGCACCAAGAAGGCGGCGTCGGTCGACATGACGGGCCTCAGCCGGAGCGTGTCGGAGCTCGGCGTCGGCCTCGGGAAGGTCCATGACGTGCTGAGGCTGAACGGCATGGCGGCCTCGGCCGAGAGCGCCCGGCGGTTCCACAACGCGATGAGTGCGTTCCTGCGGCAGGCCGAGGAGGAGATCGTCAGGCTCCAGGGCCAGGAGAGCGTGTGCCTGTCGTCGGTGCGGGAGATGGCGGAGTACTTCCATGGCGGCGATGAGGTCGGCGACGGCGAGGCTCGCTTGTTCAGGGTCTTTGCGGGTGTCCGGGAGTTCGTGGCCATGCTCGACCGGATCTGCAGGGAGGCCGGGGAGGTCCAGGGCGACCGTGTCGGCTCGACGCCGGTGAGCTGGGTGGCTCCCATGGGGACGACGCCCTGAGCTGGTGATGGTTCTGTCTGGAAATTGTTATGAGCATGGATCTATTTTGGTGGAACATATTAGCATGAAGTTGTGTCGAGAACTGTTATGTTTCCTACTAGTGTAGACCAGAACAATATTGAACCTCTCTATATAGTGTAGTAATAGTATGTTGTATAAAGAACACTGGTAAGTTTATCCATCGGCATGTCAGGTTATTAACTAGTAGAATGGAACTTAAAATGACTATGACTCTTAGGTAAGAATTAAGATAGCACTGTTCAGTTGCATCTGGAATTGCTACTTTCTTCTTCTTAGCGCCCTCTCTCTTGCGGCGTCATCGCCCCCCTCTATCTTGAACCGCTTTTCTTCCTCCGCGATAGGGGGGGTCTTCACTTCTCCGGCGATCGCCAGCGACAGCCCACCCAACCACAAATCTTAGTCAAGTCCATCTCCTGGTGGATAATGTGGTTTTACATTGTTCAAGTTATTCAAGTTACAAAAACACTGGCTCGGTCTTTGGAAACATCATAATAACTTGATTCTGCTCTCAAATTAACATACACAGATGTACCATTTCATTTTACCCTCAAATTACCTGCAAACGATTCCATACCAGGAACCATACCATGACTATCATCGGAACAGTACACCCCCCCTTACACATAGTACAATCATCATGTTTCCATACATATTATCAAAAATCAAAGAGAGTGCAACACACACAAAGTCTTCATGCATTAATAGACAACGACAAGTTTTATATTCTTACATTGCCATGTATCGAAATTAAATCAAGCATATATGAAAGTAGAATGCTTACCTTCCTCGTCGAAAGATTTCTACATCTTAGGATTGACCTCGGACATTTCTAGCACCTTGGTGTCTACATGGGGCAAGGCAAGTAGTGCAGATAATCAACGTAAATTTCGGGAGAAACTAAAATTCACTTTTGAGGCGAGTGGAGTCCATTATTCCATAAAAAGAACAAAGAAACAAGAATCACATTAATTAGAGCTCATATGAGGCATGTTGTCTTTGGAGTATTTACTACGAGAAAAGAACATACCGTGTCCATAGTAGAACAACTCATTGCATGTGGATCCTAATTAAGCCTCAGCTCATATAATGGAATTCAAATCTAACATGGAGACGTCGTGTGCGTATTTTTCGAGAAGGGAGTGACCCCGACCTCTGCATCATTGTGATGCACACAACCATGATGTCATGTCTGTTTATACCTCATAATAAACCTACAACAATTAGATCCTACATTTCCTGTCACCAAGGAAAATGTCACATGAATAAAATTGGCACATACCCTAACTTCTTGATGTCTCAACGCAATGAAACCATTACATAATTAATTGAGTGAAAAATATAAAAATATTGGTAGAAGATACTTCATTCTCCGAAGGCTTTAAGCAAAGCAACATCATCCGGTGCCGGACTAAGATCTCCCTCGTAGTTCCTCTCCTGACTATGGTCCACAGAATGTGCAACAATCTCGAGGAGGCGGTTCTCTACTTGTTTCATGTCTTGTCGTTCTCCTGGATTGGGCTTCAGACAATCCACGGTGACCCTGCTGACCATTTCCAAGAGATCGATATCCGCCTCGCTTGTAATATTGTTATCAATAAAGTTTCTTGCTCTTTTTGCTAGACAAGCTTCAACAAAGTTTGCAACATAGCTCCTCTCAGCATCATATGTTGCAGGCCTCCTTGTGATAAGTTCTATGAGGACAACTCCGAAACCATAGACATCGCTCTTCTGTGTAACAATCCCTTGCTCCATATATATCGGATTTATGTAGCTCATGTCCCCAATGACATGTTCTGTCATCTCAGCTTTTCCTCTCGCGAGTAGCTTTGATGTCCCAAAGTCTGAAACCTTTGGGGTGAACTTTTTATCGAGAACGATGTTGGCAGATTTCACGTCACCATGACGGATTGTACCCTCCCCTGCTGAATGCATGTATGTTAAGCCTTTGGCTGACCCAATGGCAATCCGCAATCGTGTGCCTACCAGAATCCTATCTCTGCACTTGAAGAGAACATCATACAGACTCCCTCTCGCTGCAAACTCATACACCAACATGGGAACATCCAGCTCCAAGCAGCAGCCTATGAGCATGACAATGTTCTTGTGCCTCATCGCAGATTGGATTATAACCTCATCGGTGAACTCCTTTTTCATGTGCTTGTTAACCTTGATGGATTTCTTTATAGCCACCTGTTGTTTGTCCTTGAGAGTCCCCAGATAAACCTTACCAAAGTGTCCCTCTCCAATTACACGCTTGTAGTTATTTGTCATTTGTTTCATTTGTTTCCTTGTATAGATCCTTATATTCTTTACACCTTTTAGAACTGGACCACCATTTTTCTCATAGAACCTTTTGAATTTCAGGAGTTGATGGACCATAACCATAAGGACAGACACAACAATCATGGCAGCGATGCCTGACAAAGTGCAAAATAGCCAAGCTTCAAGTTTACTCATGTTAAGCTATACATATATACAATCACCAAAATAGCATCACACTAACATGATAGAATGTTTAATTAACTTGACATGCTATTTCTCCATAATCAACTAAGTAACTAATTATACAACTAGTAAGCCAACTCATTTTCAAAATGGTATTTCCTCCGTCCCATAATATAAGATGTTATTACATCCAATATGCTCACATATTGGTTGTAATAACATCTTATATTATGGGACGGAGGGAATGATGAAACTGAAGGTACAACTACAAAAAGTATAGAAACTGAATAATCATTGTCGGCACCCCAGAACCTGGGTGGTATAGGACTTTTCAATTATTGCTAGGCATAATTTTTAGTTTTTTACATCAATTCTTGAACTCAATTCATTAAGAAAGAAGAGCTCTCTTTCTGTCTTTCAGCCATTGCCATGGGAAAAATTATGCACAATAAGAAAAGGAGCTGAGGAGGTACTATTTGAGAGAAATATGCACGCTTGATTTTCAAGTACCGAATTTAATTATTTAAAATCATAACAACAATCAAAATTTCAAAAGTTTGACTATACCTATCCAAAATGACAACTTTTGGGATTCTCGAGGGCCTGCATGCAGAATAGCTTCTTCATCTTGGTCTTCAGCTTCTTAGCCCATGAGGGCTCAGTAGAGGGAGGAGTGTATCCATCAGAGTTGTCCTAATCCGCCTCCTCCTCGATCTCATCCTCATCCGCATGCATCTTGGCAGCCTCTGCCTCAGAACTGGTAGTGGTGTTCCCCCATTGGCTCTTGATGCGGAGCTTAACAGGCTCATGACGAATCCAGCCGGGGGCAACAAACTCCTCATTGGGGAAGAGCTTCTCCCAAGTCTTGGAGATCAAGAGAAACAGGTAAGGCCCATAGATGGGGACCTTACGGTTGAACACCGCAAATTGAAGCTCGCACCGCATAATATGTGAGACATCAAGTGGTTGCGTCTGAGCATGACACGCGTCCTCACAAATGAGCATCATATCCACCAGATAGGCATGCACCTTGTCCTTGTCACCGATGCACGGAAAAAGGGTATTGCGGAAGATCCGATGCATGATGTCAAGGAAAGAGTTCAGCACCCACGTCTTCTTCTTACTGGGAAGCGTCTTCTCAACAAAGAAGGGTTGAAGCTTGTTCTTGTTGGCTGACTCAGGGTTGGCATGAGGGTGAACACCAACGGGCGTGTCGAGCCCCGCATCAGGAACCTGAAGCAAATCCATGAAGTCCTTCCATGTAGCAGTCAACTGTTGCCCATTGGTCATCCAGGTCATGGTCCGTGCCTGATCAAAATGAAAATGTACCGAGGCAAAGAACTGAGCCACAATCTCTGGGTTAAAGTCCAGATGAAAAGTAAGCATGTGCTCAATGCTAAATTGCTCCACCAGGTCCAAAGCCTCACCAAAATAGCATAATGCTTGTCCTGCCTCATATGATTCATGTCAATCCAGTGCACGTCCAGTAGATGTTTTGCTTGGCCTTGATCACATCCAGATAGATAAGATTCTGCTGCTTGGTCCAGAATAGTTCATTCCCTCTGAAATTTGCACGGGGATTCCCATAGGGGTTGATCTTCCTTCGAGTGATAAACTCAGCCAGAGGTATCTCATCCATGTCCAGTGTGGGCTCCTTGAGCTTGGTGGCGGTGTGCTTGGTTCTGCGTTGGGAGGCATTGGAGCCCTCTGGAGCTTCATCTTGGTTGCGCATGCGCTTGGAGCCCGTGTCACGGACTGGATTCGACCGACGGACATTGGAACCGAAGCCACCACCTAGACACACAACATAAGAACACGCAAGAAAACGAGAAGGATCAATGCAAAGACCAGGGCCAAAGCCACAAGAAACAAGTAAGCACGAGATTTGGAAGGAGAAAACAACATAAATTGCATCTACGGTAGTACCAGACCGACACACGGATGTAAAAAATTACATCTGCTCCAGCCGCGGTAGTACCGTGCCGGGGTGGCACTGTAGTACCGCACCTAAAGTAATTTTTTACTTCCGCGCTCCGAGTGGTAGTACCGCGCCAAGGGAGTGGTAGTACCGCACGGAGCAGATTATGAGCGTGGATGCAGTAGTACCGCTCCAGGAGGAGCGGTAGTACCGCATGGATTCAAACGCCACAATAATCACAGATCTGGATCTAGGAACAACCAAAACTAGGTCGGTACTACCGTTGATCAAACTAAACTATTGTGTCAATCCAAATAGCATGCTTATTGCACTACCACTCTCCTACAACTCCCTCTTGCATAGATTTAGCCAAAAAGCACATGAACAACACATGCATCTCCCTAAGACCTAGAAGCACAAGAACGGAACAAAAAGAGAAGGACTTGGGGAAAAACCTTAGTCCATGGCAAGAGGGCGAGGTGGGAACGATCCCACCGGTCGGAATCCGAGGAGAGCGGCCGGAGATGGAGATCCGGCGAGGTTCTCCGGTGCCGTTCTTGGGCAGGAGAGAGAGAGAGAGAGAGAGAGAGAGAGAGAGAGAGAGAGAGAGAGACGTTGTGGGGAACATGAGTTGAATGGGTATGGGGCAGTTAGAACTCCCCCAGCCCGCTCTTAACCCCCACGTGCTCACAACTGCGAGTAGTACCGCGCCTCATTGCGGTAGTACCTCCCGGGCGGAAGTACCGCACGCCAGGCGGTAATACCGCTTGACCAGCTGCAATAAAAAATTACTGCCGTGCTGGTTGCGGTAGTATGGTGCGCAACTCCTGCGGTAGTACCGTGGCCAGCCACGGTAGTACCGTATACCCAAGAAAATGCATGTTTCACAAATGAGAGAAGAAAACAGCCTTTGCAACACACCCTTCACGCAACCGGACACACCAAGAGCTAGCACGCGAGGTAACACAAACACAAACACGGCTCAACCGAAGGCAAAAGACAACAAAGACCAAAACACGAAACAAAACTCTCAATAAGAGAGGGTGGTGGCCGGAGCCACCTATGTATGAGTCAATTGGTATGGCACCACGAAGAATTATCCTTGGGCCCATGACCAAACCTCGTCTTTGAAGCACAAGTACCATCAAAAATGGCTAATGTGAAAAAGTTTATCAATTTATGCATAATGAGGGGAGGGAGAGTTCATTGAGAGAACAACACTCCTCGTATGTCCATGCCTACACCTAAACAAGATAACAAGTTGAGTATGGTGGGGTGTGCAAGGGTTCAAGCTATATTTCTCAAATCAATGATATTTAGCTCATGCCTTAACTCGCGAAATCTTGCTTCATCCAAGGGCTTTGTGAAAATATCTGCAAGGTTATCATGAGTGTTGGCATACTTGAGCTTGATCTCCCCTCGCCTAATGTGACCCCGAATGAAGTGATACCGAATATCAATATGCTTTGTCTTGAAGTGTTGCACCGGGTTGAGAGATATCTTGATGGCACTTTCATTGTCACACCAAAGAGGCACTTTGTCACAAGTGACACCGTAATCCTTCAAAGTTTGCCTCATCCATAGAAGTTGAGCACAACAACTACCTACAGCCACATACTCTGCCTTGGTGGACGAGAGAGACACACAACTTTGCTTCTTAGAAGACCAACTCACCAAAGAGCAACCAAGAAATTGGCACCCTATAGAGGTGGACTTCCTATCCAGTTTGTCTCCCGCCCAATATGAGTCTAAATATCCCAAAAGATCAAAGTTGGCTCCTCTTGGGTACCATAAGCCAAAGTTTGGGGTATGAGCCAAATATCAAAAGATTCACTTGACCGCCACAAGGTGGCTTTCCTTAGGCGCGGCATGAAACCGTGCACAAATTCTCACACTCAACATGATATCCGGTCTAGATGCACAAAGGTAAAGCAAGGAGCCAATCATGGAGCGATATACCTTTTGATCCACTGCTTTACCATTGGGATCTATGTCAAGTTGGCATTTGACGGGCATTGGGGTGGAGGCCGGCTTGACATGCTTAGCTTGAATTTCTTGAGCATGTCTTGAGTGTACTTGGCTTGGTTGATGAAGGTTCCTTCTCTTCTTTGCTTGATTTCGAACCTGAGAAAGAACTTCAACTCTCCCATCATAGACATCTTGAACTTTGAGGTCATGTGAGCGGCAAATTCCTCATTGAAAGCTTTGTTAGGGGAACCAAAGATAATGCCATCAACATATAGTTGGCATACAAACAACTCCCCTTTGACCTTCTTAGTAAAAAGAGTGGGGTCGATTTTCCCAATTTCGAACCCACGATCTTGCAACAACTTGGTAAGATGCTCATATCACGCACGTGGGGCTTGCTTAAGGCCATAGAGTACCTTATCGAGTCGGTACACATGATCGGGGAAAGAGGGGTCCTCGAACCACGGGGGTTGTTTGACATACACCAACTCATTAATAGGACCATTAAGAAAAGCACTCTTCACATCCATTTGTTGCAACTTGAAATTATGATGAGAAGCATAAGCAATCAACAAACGAATAGATTCAAGGCGAGCAACTGGAGCAAAGGTTTCACCATAGTCGATACCCTCGACTTGGGAGTATCCTTGTGCCACCAAGCGAGCCTTGTTGCGAACAATAATCCCATGAGCATCTTGCTTGTTCTTGAAAATCCACTTGGTCCCAATGACATTATGATTCCCGGTTGGCCTTGGAACCAATCTCCACACTTGGTTGTGCTCGAAGTTGTTGATTTCTTCATGCATGGCATTGAGCCAATCCG